TTGTTTGTTTGTTTAAATGTGTATAGGTTCATGTATCTATGAGTACCACCTGTGTGTCTGGTGCCCTTGAAGGCCAGAAGAGGGAGTGCTGTAACCTCAAACTGGAGTTACTGTAGGTTGTGAACTGCCTCGTGAATGCTAGCAATCAAATCCGGGTCTTCTGCGAGAACAACCAGTGCCCTTAATGACTGAGCCATCTCTCCAGCCCCCTCCCTCACTATTTTTAGATAATTTTAAAACCATTTTTTTTTAAGTATGCCTTCATTGTGTGGCTGAGACAAATGATAAATGTTTACTTTTGCCTTCTGCCTTGTGTAACAAATACCTGATTTGTAAGGGAGTGGAGCAGAAGTAGGAGCAAGTCCTTTCCGTTGTCTCCATGCACTCTAGGCCCTGAATCAGCCCTAGCGTTTCCAGAGCAGATGGCTCCCCCTGGGGTTTCTTATGTCTTCAGTCACTGTGCTATAAGGAAGGCTTGTTGTTGTTGTTGTTGTTGTTGAATATTCAAGTAAATTCCAGGTTTGGACCAGTTTTTAGTCTTTGCTGGTCAGATCTCGTGGCAAAGATCAGTGCTTAGATGCTGTGTTACAACAGACCTCTTATTTTGCTGGTATTTTGGCTCATAACCTTAAACAGACCGCTAGTCCTTATTCACATGTCTTAGGGTTTCTATTACTGTGATGAAACACCATGACTAAACAGCAAATTAGGGAGGAAAGAGTTTATTTCACTTACACGTCTATATCACTGTTCATCATCTAAGGAAGTCAGGACAGGAGGCAGGTGCTGATGCAGAGGCCATGGAGGGGTGCTACTTACTGGCTTGCTCATCCGTGGCTCAGCCTGTTTTCTTATAAAACCCAGGACCAGCATTGGCCTTCCCCCATCAGTCACTAATTAAGAAAATGCCCCACAGGCTTCCCTCTATAGAGGCATTGTTTTAACTGAGGTTCCCTCCTCTCAGATGTCTAGCTTGTGTCAAGTTGGTGTAAAACTATCCAGCACATTCACATTTAGTAGATTTTACGTAAGCTCAACACAATTCACATTTTATTTGACATTCATCTTTTTAAAGTATATAGGGTCATAGTTATGCTAATTAGCTTGATGGAGCCATTCCAGAGCATATACATTATCAAAACACTGTTAACCATAGATAACTTTTATTTAACAATTTAAAGTTTCCTTATGGTATTTTTTCTCTCTCAAAGTGAAGAATTTGGAAGATTCCTAATAGCTAACTGCTGGCTATTCTAATATGAGTATTGGTCAAACCCTATGTTAACCAATTCACATTTGAGCTCCTTTCATTATTTATTCTTAGAGAATTTCATACAGTATATTTTATCATATTCTTTTCTCCCCACCCCCCCAACTCCTTCCAGAACCTTCTCTCTCCCTACCCATGCAATTACATGTTTTTTCTCTCTCTTGGAAAAAAAAAGGAAGAAAAGAAAAAGCCACTAAAAAACATGAAGTCTGATTTGTGTTGTTCATCTGCTTCTGAGCATGGGCATACTTGGGGTTGACATACCCAATACCCACTGTCCTTGAAGAAAACTGACTTTTCCTTCCCCACCATCTGTCATTTACAGATAGCTCCCTGGCTAGGGGTGGGGTTTGCCTACTTCCCCTCCTTTATGCTGGGATTTTTGCTGACTTGAGCTTGTGCAGGTTTGGGGCATACTGTGTTGATAACTCAACCATAGCCTATGTGAGATATCCTACTGTAACTCCCATTCTGCAGAAGAGGACTGTGGGGTATTCAGTTGACATCACTTGGCAGTTAAATGATAGAATTTGAACCCAGAGGCCAAATGTTTCTCTTCTGCAGCACATCTGTGAACCCCACCTTAAAATATTTCTTTTCTCTTGGCTTCTCCATCCACTGACCAAGCCAGTATTTCCTCATCTAGTCCATGAAATGTCAACAGATGTTCCATAAAAAAGAAAGGTTAATGGAAAAATATTTAACCCAGCACTTTCCTTATGTGCATAGAGATTATTTATGCTGAGAACTTCTCACCAAACTATATGTTAAATGTATATTGCATATCGCCAAGGGGAACATTCATCTTGTAGCATTCTAAAATTATTTTTGCATGGAATGTTGTATTTGGTTTTGTTTTTACAAGTTATCTATAGATATCTTGAGGAACACACAGTTCTGTGCCATTTCTGTTCTTGAATCTCATCCATTCCTTTACACCATTAGTTTCATCTAAATCTTGTAAGCTGTGTGTTGAGTGTAAGCTCACAGGTGTTTGTCTGCCTTAGCCTGCAGGAAACACTGCTTTTTCTGGAGTCACTGTGTTATACAAGGGCTGTGTTAGCTGCTGTTTCTGCATGGATGCCAGGGCTGCATATGCCAGCTTCGACTTATGGACTGTGTTGAGTACCTGCAAATACTGTTCCCTTTACTGCACGGCCAGGAAAGTTGCCCTAAGAATAGAGTGGAACACTGCTTTCTGTGCACTTTGTCTTGGAAGCCTGTCAGCAGGGTCCTCTCCTCTGTGTGCCTCAAGTCTGACATGGTGTCTACATGTGGTGACTGCTCTTAAACCTCGGGTCCTTAAAGACCACATCCTGTTGACTTAGTTCTCATAGCCCACATGTTATCAACTGGCTTTACCTCCACATAAATGTTTGGATGGAGTCACTTTCTGGAAGTATTGTCAAAAACATGTTTTATGTTGAAAGTCTGAGAGTATCTTTCATTTCTTTTGTCGGTAAAAGTCTTTCTTGTATTTCAGTATAATGTAACAATTTCCTTAAAGTTTTTTTCCATATGGAACATTTTTTAAACAAAACTATTTCTAGGTGCTGGTAGGGCACTCAGAATTAAATATAATCCTGCATTCCTTAGGTTATGAAAGCATTTTTTTTCAAGTTTGTGGATATTCACCTTTTTATAAGTCATCTGTCTTATTGTGGCTTCTCTTTTACAGTACCATAGCTCAAACCTAGAGCCTTTCGCATGCTAGGCAAGTACTCTTCCTCTGAGCTATGCCTCCAGCCTGTGTGACCTCTTTATTTTAATACAATTAATTCATTCACTGTTTGCATAAATTCATCTAGATTTATGTTACCTTTCATTGTTACCTAAGCACCTATTATCTCTTCAACCAGGTTTATGAACAGAAAGCAGCCTCCTATAGCACTTCAGTAGATAGATAATTCGTGCTAGATTAACCTTTTATTTTATTTTATTATGTATGTGTTTTGCCTGTGTGTATCTGGTGCCATTGGATGCCCTAGGACTGGAAGTACAGACAGTTGTGAATCACCTTGTTGGGTGCTGGGAATTGAACTCAGGGACTCAGAAGAGCAGCCAGGGCTCTTCATTAATTAATCTTGGGTTATCTTTCCTACTTACAAATAATCTCATTAATTAGCTCTGTCCAACTCTATACCATCTAATCTGCCATTTTACTTTGGCAAATAGTGGAAATCAAGAAAGTCTGTATGTACATTATCAATTGAATTTGGATTCATATTTTATCTGACTTTATGTAAGTTACCTTTCTCTTGCTGTCATTTGAACTCTATTTTTTAAATAGAATAACTGGTTTTAAAGTTTTTCTTTAAAAACAAAAACTCCCACAACTTAAAAAAAAATGTACTGTATAAACGCTAATTAGAAATATCTTAGATATGAAAGGGCAAGAATTGAGCATGGGCCTACATCATTCTCAGTTACAGTATCTGATAATACATATCTTTTCAGGTTTTAAAAAGTTACAGAAAAAAGAAAAGAAAGGGGAAGAAGAGTGTTGAGAAATGCTTATATGGGGAAAGAGACATGGCATCCAAGAAGCCTCTCCTGAGCCCTATCCCTGAGCTGCCTGAGGTCTCTGAAACAACGCCTTTGGCTCACTGCATGCAGAGGACGTGTTCAGGTGCTTCTCTCTTGGCACATTACTACTGTGCTGATTCTCTTCCCTTTTCCCATTCACTTTTATAAGACTGAATCTGTTATCAGTAAGGGAAGTTGTAGTCTGTAATCTGTGAGGTACCTAGGCTCTACCAGAATTTGATGAAATTCTTGTCATTTTTATCAGAAAAATTCAAACGCAAAATTTGCATGTAATTTTGGGGGAGATTATTTCTGTTCATCTACTTTTTGCTGCATTTTGTTATGATGAATTTGTTTGGTTATGTGGCTTATCACAGAAAGTGGATAAGATGATCGCTTATTAATATATACATCTTAGGAGTTAATAACAATGCCAGATGGAATAATAATCCCAGACGGTAGTGGTGCACGCCTTTAATCCCGGCACTTGGGAAACAGAGGCAGGCAGATCTCTGTGAGTTGGAGGCCAGCCTGGTTTCAGAGAGTTCCAGGACAGTCAGGGCTACACAGAGAAACCCTGTCTCAAACAACTGAAGAAACAAAAAAGAATTAATAACAAAAATAGGAAAATAGAAAAACTTGCCTCATAACATTTTCTTACAATTATAATCTAGAAATGTTTACAAATTGAGCTTGATTACCTTGAAAGTTACTTTTACAAGCAAAGACCAATTTGATTTATATCCTAAGATTTATTCATTTTATGTGTAGGAGTGTTTTGCTAGTATGTACATATGAGCACCATATGCATTCCTAGTGCCTACTGTGGCCAGAAGAAGGTGTCAGATCCCCAGAACTGGAGTTACAGATGTTGTGAGTTGCCATGGGGTGTTGGAAACCAAACCCACATCCTTTGCAAGAGTAGCCGATGTTCTTAACCACTGAGCCATCTTTCCAGCCCCTATAATGTCTAAGTTTAAACCAAGTTTTCATGTTTAAACGCTTATGATAAAAAGTGCCTCCATTTAGCATGTTGATTTTGTATGTAGCCATTTTAAAGAAGCTGCCTTTGTCCAATGTCATAATCTTAGCCTGCATTCTTAAAGAATTCAAAATGAATGATACGTGTGTCACTGTAGACTCTGGCTTCTGCAGGCATCTCAACTTGAGGACAAAGCAGGAGTTTAACAAGGACTCAACTTTTTAACAAGCACTCCTAGCTTTTGCTCCTGCCCTCTCATGAAGAGTGCAGTGGGATGGGCGGTCTGCCATTCTACCTTCTTTTAATCTGGCCTTGATTTTGCTTATCTACTAAAATGTTACTACCTTCATTGCAGGAAAATACCTTGATGATCTTAAGTGTTTCTAACCTAGAGTTGCTGTTGCCGCCTGAAAAGAGGATTTAAGACAACTTAGTTTCTTTCCATCTCTCTTTAACTTTCTCTGTTCAGCACCTCTTTTTTTTCCAGTATGCTATAAAAATATATCAATCCTAATTTTAAAGTTATAAAAGAGCCTAGCTAATACAGTCATTGTATGAATAACTTGTATGAATCTCTAACTTTACATACTGTTTTACCTACTCTAATCAGGAATGTATTTTTTTCAGATTGAAACATTGATTTATATTTTAACTTTAGGTTCAGCTATATTTTATATGCATCTTCCAGCTTTTACTTAAACATGTTTTATATTCACTTTAATGACCAACTAAAAACATTATCTTAGATAATAGTAGAGATAGAATCTAATAAGTACATTGACTTAGAATTATAAGAACTGAATTCTTGTAGGAGAGTTGTTCTCAACCTGTGGGCCGCAACCTCCTTGGGGGCCAAATGACCCTTTCACAGAGGTCACTGACCCCTAAGACCATCCGGGAGCACAGATATTTACATTACAATTCATAACAGTAGCAAAATTACAGTTATAAAGTAGCAGCGAAAATAATTTCCTGGTTGGGGGTCACCACAGCATGTGGAACTATATCAAAGAGTCTCAGTATTAGGAAGGTTGAGAGCCACTGTTCTTAGGTCCCTTCTCAATCTCAGACCTTACTGGTGGCTTCTCACCTAGGAAGTACTACAGACTTACACAGAGCTGCATGGGATATTCTTCCCAGGAGGACGGAACTTCGTCAGAAAGGAGGGGTCTGGGCTGGACTTGGAGATTGGGGCCATTGGCTCTGTCTACTTTTTAGATATTTTATTTTTTTTATTTTATGTCTATTTATATATATTTTTAATATATTTGATGGGAACTCTTAGAAGCCATGGCAGCTGTACACTTCAGCTGCTGTGTCTTCATGTACCCCAGAATTCTGATGTTTATCGCCTTGTTTCAAGAAGACATTGATAGAAGAATTTGTAGTGTGATGTTGTCTGAGTTTTCAGGTAAATGGGAACTGTTTCACACACAACTGGACCTTGGAGTATGGGAAGCACATTTCAGAAAAGGAAACTAAGACAACAGTCTCAGGTTCATAGTCTGAAGTTGTGTGCTTTATTAACTCATGCGTTGCACACTTGTTTTCTTAACCTGTGGACTAGGGCAGTAAGAGGGACGGAGAATGACAGATGGGAACCAGAACAGTGTCATGACTGTAGGTTGGAGAAGTTCTGAAAGATAAAAAGACAGTACTCTGTCAAGCACATTGATGGAGTCAGACTGCTTATTCAGACTGTTCCTTTGTAATTTGAATTTAAGTGTGTTTGTTTACATGCCGTAGATGATTCCAGCGTCAGTGGTGAACTGGAAGAAGTGATCTCTCGTGAACTTCCTGGGAAAGGAAGGAGACCCTCGCCTCGGGAGGAAGACTTGCCTGAGCTGGAGCCGGCTTGTGAGCAGTCTCTGGAGTCTGAATTGTGCTGCTGCTTGTCGCCCGTCACTGCTGCTTCGGAGGGGGCGCCAAAGGCCAAGGCCAAGGCCAAGGCCACAGGCAGACAGGCTAACTCCAGAGCAGACAGGAAACGTCCAAGTGCAAAGGAGCCAAAAACCAAGACCAAAACTGAAAGCAGTCCTGTGACCCACGGGCATGGTGTGTCAGAACATCCAAAGGCTCCATGTAAGCGTTGGTGCCAGGAATTCTCCCAGGCTGATCCAAATGCGGACAGTCCTTGTGAGATCCTTACGGCTTCAGAGACTAGGAATAGAAAGTGTGAGGAAGACAGCAAATGCCTAGCTCCAAAGGGGAGTCTGCAGTGCGACCCTTTCCCATCTGACTGCTCAGAAAGGGAGCGGGACTGTTCAGAAGGTGTCCTGGTTGATCATCTGAAAAAGTCCACAAGCCACAGTGAGAATGTGGGAAGAAAACGTGCAGGCAACAGCAGCCTCACAAGTGACAGAGAAAGGAAACAGAAAAGACACTCTGTGCATTGTTGGGAACAGAACAGGAACGCTGCATCCTCCTGCAGTCGGGGAAGCCCTGCAGAAATTACTTTAGGGAATCCCCAGCTGTATGAAGATTTATCTGCCGCCTTAGAGCAAAGCTTTCAGAGAACAAGCGGAAAACCCAAAGTGAGACGCAGCACAAGGCTCCAGGGAGACGTGGAAAATACAGGGCTTGTATGGATGTTGCCTCCCACTCCTCCCAAGTCCCAGAAAAACAAAAGGAGAACTACAATTTGTGCCTTTGACAGCAGAGGATTTGAAAGTATGTCTTCCAGAGAAGAGACTATATCCTCAGGACAAAACCCAGGTGCCCCACCATCCATCCCGGGCAGTGAGAGCCAGGGTGTTGGTTCTTCCAAGCTACCTGGGAAAAGGAGGAAGAGCTTCTGTGTGTCTACACTCACAAATGCTGAGAGTACCACTGAGCCACCACGCTTCAAGAGAAGATCCTCTCTGAACAAGGGAGAAAGCTCTCTACTGCTGTGAGGGGCTGGCGCAGGAGAGGCGAGGCAGTGACTGACGCTCCACCCGGTATTGGCTCTTAGGAGGAGGGATCCCTGCTTCCTCCCTGCTGCTTCCATCCCGATGCAAGGCCAGTGCATTGCACGTTTCTAATAAAAAGCATTTGAGTTGTGACGACTTGAAGTAGAAATGACTGAATTTCTTCACCATCCAAAAGAAAAACGTGATTATGTATCTTCTCCCTCCAAATGCTTAGTGGGTTTATTAGTCTTTTGCTAAATGTTCATTTTTAGACCTAGCAATGTGTTTCTGTGTTTTCATTTTTTTCTATTGTACACACTTACCACTGAAGGCTTAGACTGTTCTGGAAAACATCCTTTAGAATGACATTCTTTTTGGGTTAAATTGAAAACCAGCCTTGAAGTCTTGGTTGTCTGTCTCAAAGTGAGACCCTACATTGAAAATTTTCTTCAATGACTGGAACTCTATCGATCCATTGTTAAAAATGAATATGTAATTAGAAATACCTATGAAACTATTCTTCCAGATTGTTCAAATCAGTCACAGGTAATTCAGAACTTAATTGTTTCCTATTAAATTTATTTTTGAAAAGTCGAAACTTAAATGTGTTATGGAAAATTTGTTTACCATCGGTGAAGCATGGTATAGGTCACTGATTTCTTGTAACAGCATTTTCCAGCAGTTGAAACTGTTTCCTGATCTCTATACTGTCCTCGCCTGTTCCCTCTGAGCTTAGCTTTTGCAGCTCCCTAGTCTTGGTGACAAAAATTTAAAAACCTAAACTGCCGTGAATCTGTGAATGTACATAAATCATCTTATCATTGAACAACAGTCCCAGAAATCCTTTAAATCACTAGCTCTCCTTCAGCCTGATAGCAGAAACATGTTAACAAATAGCGCTCCCTATAAATAACACACAGGGAAGAAAGCTCCTGCTGGGCGGCCCATTTCCCCCTCGGAGGTGGGGCTATTTGTTACAGCCTTGGCACCGCCAGGTCTGGAGCCCCTGCTGAGAAGGACTGATGGCTTTCACATTAACAGCCAAAGCGATCCCCAATTTCTTCTGCTCAAGGGTGAATTGTCCAAAACTTTCTTTTATCTCTACATGTAAATCATTTATGGACTTTGCTCTCCCATGTATGTGGCCACCAAGTCAGTACCAGTAAACACACACACATGCCAAAATGATAAAGAATTAACTCGTTTGGAAACATGTTAGAAGCTTGGGTCTTCAAAACCGTTTTAGTATTGTGCCCTTGTTTGGGATGACGTTCAAAAGCTATTGACTGTTACTCCTTCCTATTTTATGGTGGTGTCAGCTCAGCTCTGTCTCCCTGGCAATCGTTTCCACACTGGCTGAGCTCTCCTAAAGTGCCAGCTGATTGTGACTTGGTTTGTCTAATGTAAATGTGTTCTCGTTTTCCAGTGCCGAAATTAAATCTGTAATCCACTCTGCAGCCTACATTCATTCTGAAATGTTTCATTATAAATGCTTGGTTAATGTTCATAGACATCCCTTAGAGCAGTGGTTCTCAACCTCCCTAGTGCTGCGACCCTTTAATACAGTTTCTTGTGTTGCACTGACCCCCAACCACAAAATCATTTCTTGTTGCTACTTCATAACTGTATTTTTGCTGCTGTTATGAAGTGTAATGTAAATACCTGGGGTTGTGACCCACAGGTAGAGAAATTCTGCCTTAGTTTCTTAGACTATTAAGGGGCCTAGTTTATCTACCATGTCTACCAATATCAGATGCTTAGTGAAAAGTTAATTTCTGTATTTGATCATGCTTTCTGCCTTCACCTTCTGTATTTAATCATGCTTTCTGCCTTCACCCTCTCTCCCATTTCTTTTCATTAATGGTAAGCTGAAATTTATTTTTCCCTGCCTGAATCTTTTTCCTAGAAGTAACTAAACCTGGATGCCTTCTTTAGAACGTTTCCTGTCTTCATTGCGTCTCTCCTTGCAGATTCTCATTTCTTCCACAAGGTGGCACTGTGGTTCCTGCAGTTTTCCTTCCATGAGCAAACAGACTGCCAGGGCTGCTTGTAACTGCTGTTGCTTCAACTTCCTGATATTTTTGTTCGTTTTTTATCAGGAAATGGAGAGTGCTTATGAAGAAAATGGAGAACACATAATTTAAAAGAAGCATAAACAGCTTTCTGTATCCAGAAACTCAACTGGCATGCATCTTCCAGACTTCTATGCCCATGCAAGTGTAGTTTGTTTGCCAGTGTGATGGATGTGTGTGTGTGTGTGTGTGTGTGTGTGTGTGTGTGTGTGTGTGTGTGTGTGACATTCTGCCGGCTCTATTTCAGAGTACCATGACTGTCGGTCTTACTTCGGACAGCCCTTTAGTCTTTCAGTCCTGTGTGGAATTTCATATCTGGATATCTGTAGTGTGGGTAGTCATCTCTTCAGTTGTAGGTATTCATTGTCTCCTGCTTTTGTGACTGAAAATTGTGTCACAGGTTTTGTGAGATGATGCCATTGCTGAAGTGGCTGGGTTCTCTTCTGTAGATTCTGGTAAGTTCTTCTGACATACAGCTAGCATCTTGACCTTCTTTTATTTTCTCCCTTCCCACAGTGATGTTTTGTGCATATTCTTTCTTACCTAATCTCTGACTAGAGCTTTGGGATGAGGGTACAGCCCTGTCCTGGCAAAGCAAGCAGAGGATGATTGATAATGCCTGACTCACACTCTAAATTGAAAGCACTATTTCAAAAGTCCAGTTTTGTTTTGTTGGGTTTTTTTTTTTCTTTGTAAAACAACTTGCAAGAGTTGACTTTAAAAAGAACATACTGTTTGAATTTTGGAAAATGTGTATGGTCATGTACCATTTTGACAGCAGAGTAATAGTATGCCCATCAATCCAACACTCTTCCCAGCTCTTCCCAGCTGATGATTTTTATTCTGTTGTACTTCTTACCTTTTCTAGAACGTCAAGACATGCAATCTCAGATAGGTATGTAGGTAGGTAAAGATAGATAGATAGATAGATAGATAGATAGATAGATAGATAGATAGATAGATAGATCCTTTGTGTCTGTTTTTTTAATAGCCCAGGTTTTGTTTTAATAGCACAATGCTTTCAAGAGTCACCCATGCTGCATGTTGTAAATGATTGTTGCTGTTTTTTTGCTGGTTATTAATTTCACTCTGGATATTTGGGTTATAAGATTTGGGGGTTTGTTGTACGTAAAGTTGCATCCTGTTCACATATGGTTCTTTTTACAGATTCATCTTGGGTACGTGCTTAGAGGTAGGATCTCGGGGATTTCTGTTTCCCAGGCTGGTGGTAATGAGCATTTTCTCTGTTTATTTGCCCTCCTTGTATCCTTATCTATTGGAGTGTCTTACCCAGGATTTTCATCGTTAGGACTGTTATGGTATTACTGGGTTGAAAGAGTTTGTTTGTTTATTTGATAGAAGTCCTTCACTGGGCATTTTTCTTAGAAAAATTTGCCCCAGCCCATAGCTTATTTTTTTGTTTGTTCTCTTGATATTATTTGAAGAACAGGTTTTCATTTTGTTGAAGTTGAGTTTATTGTTTTTTCTCTTTTTCTTTTCTTTAATGGTTCATGTCTTTTGCATCCTAAGAATAACCAGGCATGGTGTTTCATGTCTATAATCTCAGCACTGGGGAGGCTGAGGCAGGAGGATTATTGTAAATTCAAGAGCAGCCTGTGACATTTAGTGAGTTCCAAGGTTTTCAGAGCTGTCTCAAGCCAAAAGAAAAAAATACATTTCCTAAGCGCAAGAGCACAAAGATTTTCAAGAAGTTTCATGACTATATTTCTCCATTGAGTTTTCCATGTATTTGCAGTTAATTTCTGTGTGTTCCTGGAGGTGCGGGTGGCTTTTGTTTGTTTTGAGTGGAAATCAGCCAGCATCATTTGTTGAAAAGCTCATTGTTGAATTGGGTTGATACCTTTCTTGAAATCATGAGTCTGCATGGGCCTTATTCTGTTGGTCTGCATGTTTACTGTCCCATCGACACAACATCCTGAAGCCTCTTCCCGTTTTGCTGTGAATTTGACCAGAGTTTACTTATGGGGTCTGGGATGGACTAGAGGCCAGCAGAAGCAAAGGGTTAACCAACTCTCCTGGGGCCTTCATCATGCCCAGAGCACACTCCCTTTTGGAGACCATGAGTCGGCAGTAAAAGCATCCAGAGAGAAGGTGGGAGGCCAGCTTCACTGGAAGCCTGTTCTTGAGCCCAGGAACGATTTACTGCACTTCATTTTCATCATGACCTTGGGTCCCTGCTGTTGTTTGGAAGTAATTCGCTTTATTTCAACATTGGCTTCTAAAGTTCAAAATTAGATTTACCTTTTTTTTTTTTTTAAGTAAAGATAAATTTGGTTCATTTATTTTCATAAAATATGATAGTTTGGTTTAGTATAAAAGCTGTCATAACATCGTTAAGATTGGAGAATTGCCTGGCAGTGGTGGTACATGCCTTTAGTCCCAGCACTCTGGGAGGCAGAGGCAGGCAGATCTCTGAGTTCTAGGCCAGCCTGCTCTGTAGAGTGAGATCCAGGACAGCTAGAACTACACAGAGAAACCCTGTCTCAAAAAACTCCCTAAAAGCGGGGGGAGGGATTTGAGAATTGTTTCTTACTATATGCTAATTACCCTGCATCAAGTCATCCCAGGTAGGAAAACTATTAATTAAGCATTCACCATCATTTATACAGCAACTGCTAGCTTCATCTTCAGTAGGCTTTTTGGTAGGCTTTTGTTACATAGTTTTCTTCCTGTGTGTTTTAACCAATGAGTACATCTTGGTGAGGCGTAAGTTTAAAAGACAAGTGGCGAATTGAACATGACAAAAATCTGAAGAGACATCTCAATTTCTTAGACCTTTTAAAATCTCCTGCTCCCATGACTCTGCCCAAGCCAATCTTACTCTGGGTTTGAAACCTTAGATCAAGTGAAGTTGGTATTAAATTGAAATAATTGTGTGTGCACACAGCAGAATTTTGTCCTAAGTTCACTGGAAAATTGCACGGCCTTGATTTGGCTGTCCCTAGGCTGGTCATAGCATGCTGTGACCTAACAGTGTCAAGTGTATCTGTGTGCTGCTGTATTCACTTTTGGACATTCTTTAATCCCAACAATAACCTAATTGCTGAAGTGAGGAGATGAGGA